GTTAACAGTGTTATTATTCAGGAGTGGTGGTTCAGTATTAGCATTATCCAAACTATCCATTAAATCGTTAATAAAAATGTTGAAAAGAGTTGGGCTAATTATACATCCCTGTTTTACTCCTCTATTAATAATGAATTCTTTGGTTATATAATTATTTATATTAATGCAAGCTTTTGTTTTTGAATACATGTTTTTTTATTATTTTGTAAATCTTGCCATTAATGTTATTTTTTAATAGTTTATAGAATAGCCCTACTCTCCATACCGCGACGAATGCTTTGGCAAAATCTACAAAACAAACATAGAGTTTTTGTTTATTTTTAATGTGTTTTTGAATTAGAGTTTTTAATACAAAAATTTGATCAGTTGTTCTGTGGTTTTTTTCTGAAGCCGGCCTGGTTGTTTTTGAGTATTTTATGTTCTTCAATGAAACAGTTTATGCGTTTATTTATAATGCAACAGACGACTTTACAACTTGAAACTGATACTCCCCTGACATGAATGCATGGGTCGGTAAGAGTCCGTGCATTCGGGTTACACAGATTTTACTTGAACTCTATAACCCAATTCAATACACGTTACAATATGTTTAGTTAAAGAGACGATGCCGCTTGAGACTGGATATTATTTTTCACTTCTTCAAATTACGCGTAATTCGGCCATCCTTGACGTACTTGGGTCTGTCTGGGATATACTGACAAGTCGGGCAGGTAACGGTGTAACTTGTACTTAATAAACGTCAATAAAAATGGTCGTATTGTATAAAGATCGTATAGCACGAGGCGATTCATGAAGCAACCAACCGTGAAACTCAAGACAATTACGCACAATCAAGTGCAGACGAGGCAACTATCTGTGGCAATGAGCGTCTAAAACTCCCACATGACGGTGATGCCTAGCCCTCCTTGGCGACGCGAGTACAGCATACAAACGAGACAGTTCGTGAGATAAAGGCGTTGCCTCGTGTGTTGCTTCGTGGGTCACCGCTTGTAAAACAACCCTAAGCTAAGTGTTTTAGGTAAAACTAGTCATTAACACTAGTATTTAAACCCGTAGTTAGTTAGTAAGTGAGTGAGTGAGTGAGTGAGTGAGTGAGTGAGTGAGTGAGTGAGTGAGTGAGTGAGTGAGTGAGTGAGTGAAAAAAACACAAAAGCGGGTATCGGTAAAATGCAGAGACAATCCCCACCATTTCTTTCATTGCGAATTTTAATCCGTCAATAACTTTCGAATATTTTTCACCGAAATTATGTATCTCATACTATAAGGTTATTACGAAGTTACCTCAAAGTATGCACGAAGACAGCGGCAGATGCCGTAATCTAAAAAGTTTAGAACAGAATCAGCGAACTTCTTTGTATGGCGGCAGCCATGCTTACGCGCGTAATCATTCCATATTTGGAATTTGCATTTGCCTGATATGGTAGGATGAAAATACCCCGTAAAAAACGCAAAATTACGGCACGCTGTAACTTATGGCGTTACGGTGACAGATGTATAATAATAGCATATATCGTTTTATCATATTCGACAATGTTGTTTTTCGTCATTTCCTGTTTAATTTAAATTATTCCTATGATTAAATTGAAAACGCGGCGATGCCGACGTCATCTACGCGTACTGAAAACTAAACTTAAAACAGGGGAGTCGTCACCTGCGCATGCGTCAGGTGGCCATATCGTGTCGTTGTTTACAAATAAGTGTCTACCCATGAGTCTTAGTGTTCTTAGCGTGTGTTGTTATTGTCGCTTGAGACTCAATTTCCGCGCGTGCGCAGACGACCCCTTCGCTTTAAAGAAAGAATTAATCTTAATGTGTCTTGACTTTTATAACTGTGCATAATATTCCTGTTGTTTAACTTCAAACAAGAGCAAATTATTGTAAGTTGCTCATTTAATGCAAAGGTACAAAGTGCAAACCGTACCATATGTTTAGGAAAGTAAAAACGAAGTCAATACACGCCTTGCGTTAATTACATGCCATATTATCTTCGGTGATCTCGAATTGCAATAAGCAAAAGTGTTACAAACCGTCTACTTTGCGAGTTAGACGGAGTTATCTTTTCGCTCCAGCAGATGAAATCGTCGGAAACCCATTCCTATACTCAGACATTTAATCAGAGCTCGCCACGGGAATATCTTGATAATGCTCATGACGAGTGGAAATCCGTCAAGTGCGGCAACTGATTTCATCTGGTATCCAGAACGAAAGTAGGAATTATAAACATACGTGTCTTGGAGTTAAATTCCTTCATTTCCTCTAATCTGGAATTAGACGAGGTGCCCAAGATTGTTATTTACAATGTGTTTCTTTGAAACTGTGCTGTTTATAAATAATTATTCGCCAGTAGTTGTCTTTGATGGAACGCGCCATGATTAAATGTGTCGCGAGTATTAAATGCGGCTGCACATTCAAGCACGCTCTTTGTAAATGAAAAGAATATAAACTTAGTCATCCTTTGAGGAAACATACTTGGAAAAAGTGAGAGATGAAATTCATTACCCTGCTGCTGTCCATTACAATGCATTGAAGGTAGAATCGAGTACATATTTTACGTCTATAATTTAAGTGAATATCTCTTAATTAGGTATATGATTTAATTACCTGTTAATGTTATACTTGAATACATAGTTTACATAATTTAATAATTAATAAACTCTGCTCGGACTGATAAA